TCTCGCTATTAGGATTTTATGACGAGATAAGACAAGGAGTCGAGTTGGGCTAGGTTGAACGCCATTTTCTTTTCTTTTTTTTTTTTCTTCTTCTTCTAAACTATCCTCACGACTTTGTCGTCTCAGTTTTATCGAGTTTCAGGACGAGAAAATAATTAGATCTTCCCTCTCGAAGCGCTAATTCGAGCGATATTCTTGCGGTGCGCGTGTAACGTTTGCACAAGTGGCTGTGTTCATTTCCCTCGCGGGCAACGAAAAGCCAGGAGGGAGAGGGAGGAGGAGGAGGAGGAGGAGGAGGAGAGCCGTTAATTCAAACGGAGAAAGAAAGGCGTCGTGGGTTGCTAAACGATGAACAATAAACGTGACTCACAAGCCCGACTGCGCGTTTCCTTTATTCGCGCGAGTGTATCGTTCGGGAAGCTCGCTCTCTTTCTCTCTTCCCCTTGGCCTGCAACTTTTAATTTGTTTGACCTCGGTTATGCATCGAGTTGTTTGGAGATGTTTTGAGAGACGATTAATTCTTAACGAAAACATCGTAAACCATCGACTCGATCCTCTCAGATTTTTCGTGATCCCGATCCTCCTCTCGAGCGAGCATCCGAGTGGCTATTCACGATTCACCGTGTTCGGCGGCACGTGGGCGATTCGATCCCGTAAAAAGAGGTTAGCGCCGCTTAAGCGGAAGAAGACTGGCATTAAAAAATTTTGCCTTATCCATTTTTTGAGGGAATTCAAATTTATCTGAATATCGATCGATTTACGCTCCATCTCGTTCGTTGGAACGACAATAATTAGCGAAGACAATTAATCGCTTTCGAATAGCTTTTCTCTCGAAGGTCGATAGCTCGCTCTCTAATTTAATTTCTTATCTCCGCCCCTCGGGTTACTCCCCTCGCATTTGGCCCGGCCAATTTCCGAAATGACTCTTTCTCCAGACAACGCGTGCCTCATCGTGACTCATTTTTCGGCGCCACGCGTTTCCAACTAAAAATCTGTGGAAACGAATGACTCGGGCCTAGTGGAAAGTGGCGTTGCATACATACATACGGAATTCCATCGATTGTAATTTTACAAAATCACAGTATGGAACGAAAGTGCAACGAAATATCGTAATAATAAATTTTGTAATCTCGAGATTTCCTCCTGCTTGTGCACCTCTCATTGCCTTGAACAAGTTCCATCAATCCATGTATATAATTAAAGATTGCAAATCGTTCTTAATACTTTGTTCAAATTCTGGCATTTGAACAAAGGGCGGGAATCGCGGTTTTGCGTTTCTTCTTAATAGCGCGATAAAAGGCTTTATCGGCGAAGTGCACGTCTTGAAATGTGCTAAGAAATGGAGGAAGAGACTTGGCGGGCCAGACTCGTCGTTTTTTCCATTTTAAAAGAAACATGTCAGCCTTCGAAGAGAAGAATGCGGTCTTAGCATCGTATTGCCTCTTCTCTTCTCTTTTGTTTCCTTCCTTCCGCCGAATAATCACGAAAAACCGCGCAAGGCAACCGATTGCTTCCTCTCCTCGGCTGCTTTTCTCATTTCCCGATGGGCCTCTTCTTCCCCCTCCTCTCTCTCTCTCTCTCAATTACTATCGTTCTTCCTCCTTCTCCTCCTCCACCGCAAACAAGTCACGTTGCGGATACGATTTAATTCCATTGTTTGAAAACGGCAAAGCGAGGATATCTGCATTCGATATCTGGCCAACGTTGCAAAGTCCTTGCCTCGATTTCGCACGAATTTTCGAAGAAAATTCGCTCGATCGAAGTGAAAGATCCGTTCCTTTTGAATTACGAACAAACGAATTATTTATGGGAAAGGGAGTGGAAAAGAAGGTATCCGTTCACAGATAGGTTGAGACCTATTTTCTACCTCCTTGCCTTCATACCGTTGGACAAAAATACACGCGATGGCGCTGCTTTCGGAGCAGACGTTTCTTAAATAAGCGCGCGCGCGGGCAAGTCCCTTCGAGAGAAGGGGTGGGGAGGGGAAGTCATGTCACTTCCGTTTCGATGTGGAACAAATATGCGGTGCTCGCTATGCGTGTTTACGGGAGAGAGGATGCAAATATCCGTCCCGCAAGAATGAATTGCTACGTTTAATCTTTCCAAATATTATTAGAAATTGGAAATAACGTTGACATTTTCTTCTTTTCTCTTTCTTTCTTTCTTTTTGCGATCAACGAATTCCATCGCCCGCTACGCGAATCGCGAAGACAAGATGCAAAATATCCGCTTCGAGAGGAATAAAATTTTTAATCGTTTAGAATTTTTTTTTTTTTTTCCAGCAACGAATCGCGAAAAATGCGTGCAAATATATTTTTCGTTCCGTGAAGAATAAATTTTACGTTCGATCTTTCTTATAAAATGTTAGAATTCGAAATTTGGATCCAAGATATGCAAACACGCGTTTCAAGAAGAATAAAATTAATCGTTCGAAACATTAGAGTCGCGAAAAGTGCGTGCAAATGAATATCGTTTCGAGAAGAAGAAATTCTACGTTTAATCCTTGCAAACATTAGAACCAAAACTAGCAACAAATTTGTTTTGCGTTTCGAGAATAAAATTAATAATATAATTTTGTGCTTAATCGTTCCAAACATTAGAGTCGTGAAAAGTGCGTGCAAATGAATATCGTTTCGAGAAGAAGAAATTCTACGTTTAATCCTTGCAAACATTAGAATCAGAATTATCGACAAATTCGAAATTTGTTTTGCGTTTCAAGAAGAATAAAATCAATCGTTCGAAACATTAGAGTCGCGAAAAGTGCGTGCAAATGAATATCGTTTCGAGAAGAAGAAATTCTGCGTTTAATCCTTGCAAACATTAGAATCAGAACTAGCAACAAATTTGTTTTGCTCGTTTTGAGAAGAAGAAAATTTTGCGCTTAATCGTTCGAAACGTTAGAATCGGAATTTCTTTTACATTTATACGCAACGAATCGCAAAAAGTTTGTGAAAATGAGTAGAGAAGAAGAAATTCTACGTTTAATCTTTCCAAAATATTAGAATCAGAGCTAATTCGACAAATTCGAAATTTTGCATTTAATCGTTTACAATTTTTTTTCTACATTTATATAGCAACGAATCGCAAGAAATACGCGCAAATACATTTCGCTCCTTTGAAGAAGAAATTCTACGTTTAACCCTTTGCAAACATCAGAACTAGCAACAAATTTGTTTTGCTCGTTTTGAGAAGAAGAAAATTTTGCCCTTAATCGTTCGAAAAGATTAGAATCGCAAAGAATGCATGCAAATATCAAAATTCTCTTTGGAATTTCTCTCTCTCTCTTTCTCATCAAGTTCCATCGTGCCCCGTTTTTCAAGGACGAGCGGAGGAGAAAACAAAGCTGTCCTCGAGCGTGAAATCCGCGTTTAAAAAATTGCGTTTCAACTCCCTCCCTCCACCCACCACCCTCTTTTCATCCCTCCTTTTGCACAAGAGGCGCTATTTATAACCTCGAGCACGAAGAGGCGCGAATTATAATACCGGTCATCCTCCTTTATTCCTCCTCCTCTCTCTCTCGGTCCCGCTCGCAGAATTAACCGGATCAACGCGATATCGCGACGCGTTTCAACGACACGAGCGTGCACGAGCGAGCGTTGCGACCCGATGCGCGGTATACCGACCCGTTCGTTCACTCTTTATAAATAGACGGTTTAAATTCTGTCGCTGGGCTGGGCGTGGCCCCTCGATCCTAGACGCGGAATAGATCACTCGTCGCGACCCATTCATTACAACTATCTCTTCTTCTTCTTCTTCTTCTTCTTCTTCCTTCTTTTTTTCTTCCTGTTTCTCCATTTATTCCTTGAATAAATATACACGCATATGTGCCTGTTTTAAAACCGCTAAACCTATCGACATTTCGTGTATTCCTACCATGAAATGACCGCTGCAAAATTGTATCTTAATTGTAGAAAGGGATTTCAGCTAAGCTCGGATTCGCAAGGTAAACATAAATTCACAGAAAGTTGTGAATATTGACAAAAATCGGTTGTATATTACACGTTATAGAGAAAAAGACGATAAGCCATATCGAAATTGCATTTGACCGCGCCGTGGTAGGTTTAGGATTAAATTTAGTTTGCGTTTTCGAGCGGGGGGTTGCGTGGGATAACCGTGAGACGAGGAGGATTTTGAGGAATTTCGTTATTATTGGGGTGGAATTTTCGCCTCTCCGCTCGAACGGTGAGGTTTATTTACCCTCGATTTTCAAATATCGATTGTTAAGGTTTTTGAGTATGATCTTACGAACGATGTTCGTAAGAATGTTCTCTGGCCTCGATGTTTCTTGCACGCGTTTCAGAGATTTGGACGAAATTATTTCTCCCCAGGTTTCACTTTTCCAGTATTTTAATTTTTGCGGGGGAAGGAAGGATAGGCAGCTTTTTGTCGCTCCAATGGCGACGCTCGGATCGATCGATGATATTTATTTAAAATATCGAACAATATACTATCGAATTACATCGCGGATCGAACTACATATTCGACGTTAGAAATATCATTTTCTGAAGCGTGTGGTGAAATTAGTTCAAAATTATTTCTATTAATTAAGAAATTGATAAAAAGAAGATAGAATGGGAATGAAAATTGAGATGACATCGACAAGAGAAGAATGAAAAATGGTTAGATTTTTTTTTAATCTCAAATTAGATCGAACTACATATTCGGCGTTAGAAATTTATTATTTTCAAAGTTTCTCGGTTTTGTAAGCATGAAATTAGTTCTAGCGAAGACGAAGAAGAAGAAGACTCTTTATAGAATTCTCTATAAAATTAATTAAAATTTTTGAAAAGTTTTATATACGCGTTATTTTAATTTTAGCTAAGAAATTCGTCGAACTGAAACGGTTAAAGTTACGTAAATCAAGCGGGATCCTCGCACGATTTGCACGGAGGCTACGACTGTATTTTATCGTCGAAATTTTTTTTTTAACTCGCCGTTCGTTAAAAAAGTTTTCACGCCGTGTTCCCTCGATATTGATCCGTTTGCGTTTCGTTTTACAGATATTCGGGGCACGGCAACACGAACCGTACCTGTCATGTCGGTTCCTATTTAAGGTAAGCATCATTCTCGTTCTTATTATTGTCTTATTTTATCTTTCTCTCTCTCTCTCTCTTAAATTTTTAAATCGAGATTATTATATATATTTTCGATATCGATTTAAAGTAAGAGTTTATCGCGGAGGCAGAGATAAGATCGCTTCCATTCGATACAGGAGGATACGAGGCCGGAGTGGAGGGGATCCTTTTTTAAAAATTCCGTTTTGGATCCCGTTCAAACGGCTCGAAAACATCTCTCCTCTCCCCTCGTTCGAAGTTTTCTTTTTTAGCCAAGATGGGCAGAGTCGTTGCGCTTAGACCGCTGTCTCGTTTCGAGATAGAATTCGATCCGACTCGGTAATCTGGCCAGTGACGATAACGCTTATCGCGTTCGATCTTAATTATGGATTACGTCACCTCGGCCGAGCGTTAAAATCCATCACCGCGGGTATCGATTCGTGCGTTTGTCGAATCGTGGGCCTTCTATCGACAAAAGTCACTTCTCCTCGAGAGGATAGAGAAGAAGAAAGAGGAAAGAGGACGAGCAGACGAAGTGAGGATAGAAAAGAAGAAAAGAGGAGAAGATAGAAAAGAAGAAAAGAGAAAAGAGGAGAAGATAGAAAAGAAGAAAAGAAGAAAGATGAAAGAGGATGAGAAGATAGAAAAGAAGAAAAGAAAGTGGAAAGAGGACGAAGAGAAGATAGAAAAAAGAAAAGAAAAAAGAGAAAGAGGACGAGAAGATGGAAAAGAAGAAAAGAGAAAAGAGGATGGAAAGACGAGGAGAAGATAGAAAAGAAGAAAAGAGAAAAGAGGAGAAGATAGAAAAGAAGAAAAGAAAGAGGAGAAGATAGAAAAGAAGAAAAGAAAAAAGAGGACGAAGAGAAGGAGAAAAATGGCAGGAAAATGGTAAAAGGCAAGAGACTCGTAGGATATTCTCGACGGTATCGATGCCTCGTTGAACGCGACAAGAAGCGGGCTGATTACGAAGTCTCGGGAGGATATCGTTCTCGAGGCGAGAAATAAGGAGAAAGTTGATGGGTAAATTTGATGGTTTCACTTTTAGGCGTTTGACAACGCGATTAAACGTTGGCAAATTGTCGGGAGTAGCCACTTTCCCTTCCACCACGTGTATGCTCTTAATTGCACCCGTGTGTATATATGTATATATATATATATATATATATATATATATATATATCGAGAG